CTAGAAATGACAGTTTTCACACACTTACAAATAATACCTAAATGACAGTGAAAGAAACAGTTGGGAGAGACTGTGTCTGAAAGCAGGGTCTGGGGAGGGAAGGGATTGTCGTTGTCTGCCTTACAATTGCTTTAACTTTTGAAAACTAAGCATGTGGTAGTTAGAACTTTTTTAAAATTCTGAGTCTTGTTCTTCTAGACAGTCCTCAAGTGGTAGCTCTTCCATGTCCTTTACCATGAGCAAATGTTCATTCCTCATTTAAACTCAGCCAACATTCTTCAAAGTAAAATGCTTACATATTTGGCTGGCTTGCTTTTCTGATCCCTCTGCTAGATAATTAGCTTCATAAAGTTAGGAGGGACTGTTTATCCCAGAGCCTCTCTCCCTGATTAGTTTCTCCATGTAGTTGGCATAACTGAATGAGGAGTGAATTATGTGGTTTGTTGGCTCACGTTTTATAGTCTTCATGGCTTAAAAATTCAAATATGCTAACTCGGATGTAGAGAGTGCCATCTGTTAAGCAAGACATTGTTCTATGTCTTATTTGTTTGTTTTTAATTGCAGAGTTTTTCTTTATTTATTTTTATTTTATGTGCATTGGTGTTTTGCCATGGGTGTCGGATCCCCTGGAACTGGAGTTACAGACAGCTGTGAGCTGCCATGTGGGTGCTGGGAATTGAACACAGGTCCTCTGGAAGAGCAGTCAGTGCTCTTAACTACTGAGCCATCTCTCCAGCCTCGTTCTATGTCTATTTTTAAAGTGTAATTTATAAGTGCTCTAAGATAGAATTTTGTGGATTAGGGAAAAATACTTTTTATTTAAAAGTACATTCTAGGTTACTGATAATAAGAATTTTTATTGCTTAAAAACAAGCCACTTGTTTCTCACTTGGGTAGCTATTGGAACTGTAAAGGCTTCTATCTCATAGGTCTAAGAACTCACCTTATTTGGCTCAAGAGAACTGGTACTCAGTGCATTTGATCCCTTGCCGTATTAGAGGATTACTCATTTTAATATTTTAATCCTGTGGTAACCTAACAACCACAATAAAGAAGTAGACTGCTCTTGAGAGTAGGTATTTTGTCTGCCCTCCTGGCTGTGTTTTAGTCAAGTGACTGTCCAGGCAGCTCTGGGCAGAGGTGGGATCAAGTCTCAGTCCTCACACTACCCTCCATGTTGCTACCCATTTAAAGTGCACAGATAACCCATCAATCACACTGTTCTGTCAGGAATTCATTTGTTAAACCCAAACTTCCACTGTTCAGTTCAGTCTTGTATTTAATGTTTGCTCTCACCACATACAGATATTGATGAAATTATTAAGGCCACTCCACGTAGTTAAAAGGGAGGTTTATTTTTTGGGGTAACTTACAAGTGAAGGGATAGGTAACAGGGTCTGGGAAAGGTGTGGCGCAGGCCGGCTGTGTTCTCTGGAAAACTCTGCTCGGTCTACCTCCAGCGTCCAGGGTCCAGGAACCAAGAGATCCAGCGCATCCGGATCTTGGTTCTTCAGGGTACTCTCTCGGCCCCGCCTTGTAGGTGTGACAGTTATGGAAGCCTCAGTGGGGGTTGGAACTTCCAGATCAAAGCTGGAATGGCTACCCACTACATACAGACATCAAGACCACTTAAGATCTTCTTTGATTTTATGGCTTCTGCTAAATCATCCCTAAGTTAATTAGGCCTGGTTTTAAATGAACACAGATTAAATTAATCTGACATAATATAGTACATACTACAAATGTTAGCTGGTATGAGTCAACAAGTTTTTTTTATTTCTTTTCCAAAGAATATTTATTCTGTGATAATCACTGGATGTATGGCCTTCTTAGAACAGAAGACACTTTGTAGTTGATTTGTGCTGGGTCTTAAGGACAATGGGTAGAATTTAGATAGGAAGAGATGGAAAGAGTAGGTGATGGCATCTTGTGTAATAGTGATTGTGAGAGCAGCAGGATTGTGAAGTAGAGCACACATAGCAAGCATTAAGTAATCCGTAACAGAACACAAATTGTAAGAAATAAAGTCAGACAGTTGAAATAAGATATTGGTGTACCCGGAGCTGTCTGGACATTCTCATAACTAGAACACAGCCAAGAGAGCAGACCAAATGCCCACTCTCAAGAGCAATCTACTTCTTTATTCTGGTTGTTAGGTTACCATGAGGTTAAACTACTAATTTCCTTTCTGTTGCTGTAATAAAACATTCTGGCCAAAAGCATTTTGAAGAGCAAAGTTTTTTTTTTGTTTTTGTTTGTTTTTTCAGCTTCCACTCAGGTCATGTTCTATCACTGAGGGAAATCAGGACAGGAACCCAAGGCAGGAACCTGAGACAGGACTGCTTGCTATTTCGTACAACATTACCTTGAACCAGGGGATAAACTTATAGCCAAGGGAGCTGCTTGCTAGCTGGCTCACTCTCTGGATCACACTCTGCTGGCTTTCTCATAGATTCCAGGCCCAGCTGCCTTAGGAATGATGCTGCCCACCGTGGGCACCCTTCTCCCCACAGCATCATCAGTCAAGACAGTCCTTCACGGACACGCCACAGGCTAGTCTGATGTAGGCAGTGCCTCAGTTGAGGTTCCCTCTTCCTGGTGACTCTGTGCTGTGTCAGGTTGACAGTAAAGACTAACCAGCACATGTACCTTAAAAGTTAGGCCAAATATTTATGTCTCTAGGTAATGAAAAGCCTGGTTCCAACAGAATTCTCTTCTAATAATCAGGGAATCGGCTCACATAACTGACATCCAAATAGATCAAGCTTTGTGATCCAGTTAACCTCACAGCTCAGGCTTCCTGTGCCAGTGCTGCCCTTCTTCACGTATTGGTCTCATCCTTACCAGCTGGCCCAGAGATCCAAGAGCTTGTACTTCTATGAAAGATAACAGGTGACAAAGTAGGTTAATTTTTCCAACAAGCTCTGTGAAGCTTCTCCTTACTATAGCTCCCATTTCCATCTTCTCAGTCCTGCTCTGAGCCCACTGTGCCCGAAAGAGCAGCGTGGAGGCAGGCTCCTGGGACTTCGTGACAGGGGTGCTGGGACTGGGTGGCTGGACGGCAACACGTTTGCAGCCTTTGCTTTGAGTGGCTTTTTTTTTTCCCTAGAGAATCCTTTTCTATTATATAAAATTTTGAGGGCAAACAAGGTAGAAATAGTATTTTTTAGAGATCAAAAAGTAATGTAAATATTTAGATGCTATTACAAGATAGAAGTAAACATTTTAAAAAGTAGTACTAATGCTGCAGAATCGTTTCAAGAAGTATTACATCATATGAAAGCTAAACCTCAGAAATGTATAGCACCCTTCACTTAAACTTAAAACCTGATTTTTCAGTTTTAATTTTTGGTTTTAAGGCATACCTTAGTACCACGATAAAGTAAATGGGCATTGTAAGGGTATTTAAATGGGAGAAAGGAGACAGAAACAAATAACTGAATTTCCTGTGCCCAGACCCGCGCTGGCAAGAATCACGGGCTTTATTTTGCTTGGAGTCTGCTCCATTCACACAGAGGTGTGGTGGGGTTTGTATTCAAGCTGTGGCTCCCACTCTGCCATTCTCCTTTAAGGATTCCTCACTGTGCTGCAGTTAACCATGTCTTCTAGTTATTCAGCTAACAACCCACTTCTGTGTAGGTTTACCCTCTGTATGATGTTGACTGAGAACTGTTCTCAGGTGAAAAGCTGTAAAGGAAAAGCATCCCGTGCTCCTGGAAGGGAGTTCCTACTGTTAGTCCCACTTCAGTGCCATCTACTAACTACGTTTTGTGCAGAATTGATCACCATGAACCACTCTGCCTTTATAAAAAGTCAGTATTAAAGCCACAGGGAAGTTCATGGCTAAGTCTTGAACTTGAGTATACTTTTCTCTGAAGCGTGCTCTGTTCCCTTCTCCAGCCTTTTACTTTTATGGTAGTAAAATGCTACTACAGTGATTGCAATGCAAAAACCAGAATCATAGACTATCACTCAATTATGGTTGTCATTATTCTGAATATTATGCTAAGATGAATATTAAATAAAAGCACAAAATTGCTAAACACTAAGAGGACTCATGGATGGATCCCCAGGAACTACTGTGGCTAGTTGGGAAGCACCACTGACCACACCACACTAGATGGTAGTCTTCTGCTTTGTTTATAGAGTCCCTGCAGTCTGCACTGATCTGGACCTCACTGTGTTACCCAGGCTGCCTCAGTTTCTGGAGTGCTGGGATTACAGGCATGAGCCACCACGCTTAGCTGAGAGCCTTCTGGGTTGCTCTACTTTAAAAATCTCTTTGGTCAGCCAGGCAGTGGTGGCACATGCCTTTAATCCCAGCACTCAGGAGGCACAGGCAGGTGGATCTCTGTGAGTTCAAGGCCAGGCTAGTCCACAGAGCTAGTTCCAGGACAGCCAGGACTACACAGAGAAACCCTGTCTCGAAAGACTGAACAGACATACAAAAATAATTTTGATCAGGTCAAAGAGGATATAGCTCAGGAGTAGAGTGATGACCTAGCACATTGAAGGCCTTGGGTTTGATCCCCAGTATCATTGAAAATGGGGAGGCTGGAGAGATGGCTCATCAGTTAAGAACACTTGTTCTTGCAGAGGACCCAGATTTGATATCCAGCACTCACATGATAGCTCACAACTGTCCTTAATTCCAATTCCAGGGGACCCAATGCCCTCTGCTGACCTCCCCAGGCACCAGGCATTCACATGATGTGCAGACATGTGAACGAAACACTCATACACATAAAATAAATAACTCATTTTTAAAATTTCTCTGTTTATAAAGCCAGTATTGGTATACTTAGTGAAAAGCCATCAGTTTTGGCAGATTTTATCTGGTTCTCACTTTCTCGTGAAGCAACATTGCTAAGGTACATTCTTTGCCTTGCATTTACATCTTTTTGTGTGTATGTGACTCATTAATAAAGCTAAGTTAGGGTTCTGAGTGATTTTCATTTCAGAATTAAAGTAGTTCTTTTTATTTTTCTAATTCTTAATAGGATTTTTCCAATTAAAGATGTGCCCTTGGAGACTGATGACCTCGCCAGTTGGCTCTATCAACGGTTTATTGAAAAGGAGGACCTCTTGTCACATTTTTACAAAACAGGTACATAGTATCCTCCTTATACACATTTCTGAAGTTACCAAAGATGCTAAACATGTGCTTTAGAGGACAAACATTTCCCAATTATTTATTTTTGTCTTCAAAATATTTAGTTTTATTATTTCTAATTATATGTAGGGGTGTGTGTGTGTGTGTGTATGTCTGCATGTGGTTATATGCACACGAATACAGGTGCCGAAGGAGGCCAGAGGCTTCAGAATCCCTGGAGCTGGAGCTACAGATGATGTGAGCCACGTGATGTGGGTGCTAGGAACCAAACTCAGGTCCTCTGAGTAGCATCAGAAGCTCTTAACCTCTGAGCTGCCTGTCCAGCTCCTTTTCAGTTGTTTAGATTAGAAATCAAAGTCATTCTGTATGTAAGAATTTCAACTTAGAATTTATGGAAAGAAAATTTGTGTTGATGTATTTAGGTTCTTACTTCATCAGCCCAGGCACAGAATGGAGTGATAAACATGTCACACAGGGATTGACTCCAGGACACAGGAATGTGGACAACTTCAGGCAAACGTGTAGTTATTGGAGGTTATAGGGAGGCTAAATAACAGTCCTGTTCTGACATTGTAGTCATTGGAGGTCATGTGAACTACATTTCTACTTGCTTTTCCCTCCCTTCCACAGAGACATTCATCCTGCTGCATGGTTTTAGCTCACAGTCACTTGGCCTCGTTGCTTCGGGCCTGTGTCAAAGCAGAAAGCAGTTGCAGCGAATGTCCTTCTCTCAACAGGAAGCAGAAGAGTCAGGATTCCTTTTTTTTTTTTTTTACAAGAAAGGATATAGTTTACTATTTTCAGGGTTCAAAGTTGTTATTTCTCCTTGGGAGGGAAAGGAATCTATTCTTACCCTCTCTTATATTAAGAACTATAGTGAAGCTGGTCCTGGTAGCACAGGCCTGGGAGATTGAGGCAGGAGTATCCCAAGTTCAAAGCCTTCTTCGTTAACTTTCTGAGATTTTGTCTCTAAATAAAAATTAAAACTCAGGCTGGAAGTGTGGCTCAGTGGTAGAGTACTTGCCCAGTATGTGTGAGGCTCTAAATTGAGTCCCAAGCACCGAAACACAAAACAAACAATATAAATAGAAAAACAGGAGAGAAGGAAGAAGGAAGGAAGTTGGAAAAATTAACATTGGTTGGCACAACCAGCATGCTTTCCCAAGTTGCTGTGTTACAGGCTGAAACAACAGGACAGGCGGGGCAGGGCTAATTCAAGGCTGAGCAGGCAGCTCAGGTGATCAGAGAATAGACCCTAACCCCCACCCCTTAGTCTCTTGCCTTCTGATAGTGCCTAAGTTGTAGCAACAATGGTGAGCCTCTTGAAAAAGGCCACCTGCATACCAGACCTAGAGACTGGAAAATGCCCCTGTGAATTGCTTGTGAGCAGCAAATCCCTTTATGAGCCAGCTTATCCTGGGGATTATCAGCAAGGACAAAGACTGGAATGCAAGAGTGGTAGATGATCTCCATAACACTGAACCAAAGCCATCTAGCTTTCATTTCCAGGAAAAAAAATTAGATATGTTTTCTTTGTATTCTCTTTCTTGTTATGAATATATATTTTGTAAACCTTACTGTATTTTGAGAATATCAGTGTTATGTAACCACTTTCATGGCAAAAAAAAATGCTATTTCAGAAATCATTAAATGTCAATTTCACAGATCCTATATCTGACCACTGGAGAAATGTAGCTGTCCAGTGGGGAGCAGGCAACCAGAGTGCCTGTTCTCACAGATTGACTCCAGTGGAGACGGACAGTCGGCAAACCCAGAGAAGGAAAGCAGATAGACCATTGCAGACTGGAAGAGGGAACAGAGGCCAGAGGGTGGCATTGTTTCTGATCTCGGGTGGATGCTGATGACTGAGTCATTCACCCAGTGGGTAGAAGAGTGCTTGGCAAAGGCTAGGTAGCTTAAAAATTATGTGTCAGAGGAAATCTCTGCAAAGTAGGGCAATTCACAGAAAAACCTAACGGTGGGTGAGCACTCAGCTTTATTTCAGGAGACCTGTTCTGCGGGAAAATGCATCGCCTTCTGTCTTGTCTTCTAGGGGCCTTTCCTCCTCTCCAGGGCCAGAAGGAAGCTGTTTCCAGGGAGATGACCCTCAGCAACATGTGGATATTCCTCATTCAGTCCTTCGCGTTTTTGTCAGGCTACCTGTGGTACCACATCATTCAGTATTTTTACCATTGCCTATTTTAGGAACTGACTTGGACTTGCCACATAAGAGTTCAGACTTCATACATGTGCATTATTTTACATGTGCAAATCTAAATATACAAATCAAAATATATAAAAAGCAAAGGAAATTCAAATGGATGGATTAATGTTTATCCCCCTTTGGGATATTTTAAAACTCTACTACAATGAGGATCAGTAATACAATGATGTGCTAATATATTTTAAGAACTTTTCATGTTTTAAAGAGATACACTCTACCATATGTTTATGCAAGCATCACACTGGGAGAAGAGGAAATCATAAAATCATCCTAGAAGACTCCAAAAGAAACTGTTGCCACCAGATGCCCTTGGTCGTGCCCCTGTTCAGAAGCAGTGCTCCTCTTTATTAGGGCAGAGCTTCACAACGTTAATGTGTCCACCCATCATGCTGAGGTACTGGTAGCCTGGAGAGCTGGTGGGTAAGTCCTGAGGACTGGTCTGCTTATCTAGCAAGCTGCAGTCCTCAACCCTGGCTGAGGTACAGTGTTGGCATTCTGTGGGGAGCAGTGTCCACTGTACACCTGATCACTGTGTCTCCAGAAAGGCTAGCTCAGCCCAGCACCGTGTTTACATGTGCTAGTGTTTCCCTTCTGTCGGGAGAGGGGAGCACCCACTTTCTCTTTTTGTATAGAAGGCACATCATAGAATGAATATTGTATTTTACAAAATGCACTTTTATCAGATGCAAATATAGCGAAGGATAGTAACCCAGCCTGACACAAAGGGAAGCCTCACCTGTGAGCAGGCTCCCAGGAGGCTTTCCTGTCTGCGTGCTTGCCCATGATATGCTCCAGCACCATCTTCATTGGCCACCTCCCTGACCCCATTCCCCTGTTGGTAGCTGGATTCCCCCCCACCCCCAATTTTGACATAGTAGCACCAAATGTATTTGGGGGCAGTTAAAGCAAATTAACGTAAAACATTTAAATGACCAGTTTAAGGGAAATAGACTAGCTTATTAGGAAATAAAAGGTAGAACCAGACATTGGCTTGCAGTATTGACAGGGCCTCCTGTGGCCCCCAGAGTCTGTGCAGACATCAGTGTGTTCTGTCAATAGCGTCAAGCAGCTGCCCCTCTCAGGGCGGCAGGACCAGGGCACAGCAGCTCAGTGCACTTCTCAGTCTCTTCCAGCTGTCCTTGAAGAGGGCAGAGTCCAGAAAAAGTTTTAAATTTGTCATTGTGTTCATGTGGTTTACCTCCTAGGAGAACTGAACTTTGCAAAAAGTGCAGGTACTGCATCAGTACTGAGACAGAGGGTTTGTTCAGGGTGGTGAAGTTCCTAAGCTTGAAAGTCAGCAGTGTTCTGTGGCATGAACACTGTAGACCCCCCCATTGTGACTAACAACTTAAGGAGCAATTCTGAGAAATAGGCTGTAAAACAAAAATAAAGACTAATGTTTTCTGTTCTCAAATAAACCAAAAGGAAAAAAGAAAGTGGAAAAGATGCGAATATTCCCCAGTTGTATGGGAAAGGCTGACCAACACCAAATAAAAGCCTATAGCAGCTTCATCTTTAACAAACCCAGAGCACGTGTGGAGGAGAATGACGTGTTCCTGACATACCTCACTGGTACCACACCACCACTGTTACAGTGCAGGAGACAGTGGGTTTGGTTGTTATAAAGCATTTCACTCTGATTTTCAGTGACAGTGAAGAGGTAAAGAAAGCAGCCCTAATCTGGAAATGATGAGCAGCCAGAAAGAAGCTACTCAGTGCCTCTAGTTGAGGCCCAGGAACGAGTGTTCATTTGCAGCATGAATTGAGTTGAGACATTAGTTGGCCATCTGGGGGAGAAGTTGTTCACTGTCAAGTATAGCATGCAGTCCTAGCTAGCAGACCATTTCCTCATTGCAAAGCAAGCCACAGACCATGGTGGCCAGTTCCTGTATGGGTCTGTATATCCATACGTGCAGACAGATGTGTGGCTCTGGCCCACTGCTACCACTACTATGCTCCGAAAGGAACGTGATCATTGAGTATAGTGTACATGTTAAACCCACTCCCCTAAGACGCGTTACTTTCCAATGCAGTTTCATTTCCACAGTCTCTAGAGTGACAAGTAACTATAGATTTGTGAGCTAACTTTTGATAATAGGCATGAGCTGTAAATAGATATGTATTTGATTTGTCCTACACCTCTTCAGTTCTTCAACATGTCTTCTGTGTGCAAAACACATTTGAGAGTATTGATAGTGCTTCCTTATCAGTAGCTGGAGTCCACCTGCGTGTACTGGGGAATGTGAAGAGAGAATAGCTGTTCTTAGGTAGTCTGGGGAAGCAGTATGCCACTGAAGAGAACTGAATAAAATTCCCCATTTGTACTTAGTGTGTAAAGAAAGAAAGCTAATGTCTTAAGTCAGGGGAAAGTGAGTAAAGCCACTCCAGTTTACAGAGGCATCCTTTATGGTTGCAGCTCTTTGCCCTCAGCTGGACTGCCTGACTTCCTGCAGACGGGCTGGGCAATTCACAGGCAAGACCAAGCAGCAACTCACCTCACCCAGTTCAGAAATACACATATGACAGAAAAGCCTGTAAGTAGTGGGAGCAAAGAAAAACCAGAATGGAATGAAGCTTGAATGGATAAACAAGTTAGATGAGAATTTAATAAAGTATGAAAATGGTTATCTGTGGGTTCTGATCTGTCATGTGTTAGTTTTTGGTATTACAACTCATAAATTCCTACAGCAAAAACTAGGGATGCTGATTAAGTAGTCAGTTACAGGGTAGTTAATCCAGTATTAAGTCATAGGAAGCCAAAAATTAAATTCTGTGTAGGAATTTCAGACAACCAGCACAGACAAAGCACCAAAGCCAGCATAGCCCATGGGCTGGAAAGGCATCCCTGAACAAGACAGGGTTGGCACAGCTGAAATTGTTCCAGAGATGGAGTCTTAAGTCACCCATTGTGGCCCTCAGATGTGATCCTAATGTTGCTATCTGGATCAATGTTGGGAATGCCGCTTCATTCATGGTCACGTGTGTGGCTCCCTTCTCATTAATTTGTCTTAGTGACGTGTTTTGACAATCGGTAAAGACTAAAGACTCTTACCAATTTGGTCCTGGTTATAGTCACAGAAAGTAGTCTTTGATCATAGGTAGTCTTCTGTATCCCGTTATGTTTGTTTGCACTACTGAACAGGGGAGCTAACTGATGTTTTTGTTTCATCCTTTTTCTTTGAAGTCACTGCACAATAGTGAACACAGGATTTCGCTCCAGAGTTATCATTACAAAAAGTGTGTTCAGCTCTGGTCCACAAAGGATGGATGATAATGGTGTCTTCTGTGGGATTTTTGCCCTTCAAGTGCCGTGAGCCTTCTGTCTGCAGACAGGAGAGTCAAAGGTGCTCTGGGTCACAGGTGTGCTAGTTCATGTCAGGATGGGTAGAGACTAATGTGTTTGGGACCAAAACCACCTAAGTTGGAAGTTTCTGGATCACAAAGGAGCCTGGCGTACTCTGTAGCAGTCACTGGTTGGTGCTGTCTGGTGGTCGTTTTGCACCAGCCCTCAGTAATTGCAAAGTGGGCTCTGAGAACATGCTGCAGGCTCTTAACTGTTGGGGGAGAATGGCCATAGTCATGTGAAAGATACAATCTGGCGCTTTTTGCAGAAATTCCATCTGAGGATTTTTACACTTAATATTTTTTTAAAACAGTCTAAAGAGCAAAAAATTTTATGTGTATTATAGTTGCAAAGTATGCAAACTCTTTGAATGATTTTATTTTTATTGTGTAAAACTGTTGAACACGACTGTGGTGCACAAATTCTTTACATGTAAGGAGTCTATGCATTTTACAGTAACATCTTATGATTGGGTAATGAGACAGTTATACATTCAACTGCCATTGTTTTTATTAAGTGCTTTCATTTTCTTTACAATCATCACAACACTGTATTTATTTTCTACAGGTGGATTTTTGTTTTCATGATGCTGTAATGTTTACTTGAGCTTGCTGAGCTTTCCTTGTGATCCTCACGTCACAGTGTTTGTTTTAAGAATGACTGTGAAGGCCATGGCAACCGTAATTCACTTTTGTAAAGGGCTGGTCACATGTGGATCTGGTTTCTGAATGCATTGGGATGATTTTACCAAATCACCTTTTCAGAAATTTAGATATTGTGAATACCAAAAGAAGAAGCATTTTCTCAGCAAAAATTAATAGCTGGTTCTATTTTTTTTTAATGTAGAGAAAATAAAGTTGACTTTTTTTCCCAAAACAATGCTTTTAATTCTTAATAGTGGGGGTGGGTGTCTGTGCTATCCTGGAGCTCCTCAACACTGACTGCTGCAGCATGTGCCTGGAGCTCAGCATTCAGTGGCCAGTGAGAAAACTACCCCGTCCCTTATGGGACTTAAAAGATTTGCCCTTCCCCCAGTCTGCTCATTTGGTGTGTGCTGGTAAATGTTTAGCAGTCCTCTCTCTTGGAAAAAATGATGTATGTAAGTACACATACATGTGTAATAAATGTTTCTGTTAACAGATATTTAATGCAGTTAGCAAATAATAAAATATAAATAATTGATTTTTACAATATAATTGTCATTGCTGAACCCTCAGAGCCAACCTGTGACTGAATATCAACCTTGATTTGATTGATGGCATTATGTTCTGGTATACTAACCATCTCCACATAAACTGTCATCCAGTCTAGTGTACGACTTACTACTAGACGCTTACCTGTGAACAGAACCTCCTTTTAGCTTCAGCATTAATTAGGAGTTTAGATAATTTGGTTTTAATTATATTAAAACCTTAAAATTAAATGATCAGAAGCCAGGTGGTGTTGGCGCACGCCTTTAATGCCAGCACTCAGGAGGTAGAAGCAGGCGGATCTCTGAGTTCAAGGCCAGCCTGGTCAACAGCGTGAATTCCCAGGACAGCCAGAGAAACTCTGTTTCAAAAAAACCAAAAACAAATGATCAGCTCTTGTCAAGTCAGAGCTGCCTTCATCACACCACTTTCCTCTTTTTGTGTTTTGATATGATTTAATTATTAGCATTGAATAAAGTTCTCAGAATTGATTTACTCACTAATCCAAGAAAAATCCTGTCATTGACCCTTGCAGCTTTTAAAGTGTGGGAAAAGCACTGAAATCGATATGACCAAGTAAGCTTTCGATTGTGGGGAGTCTGATAATAGCAAGCTTTTCAGGAAGCACAGTGGCCAACTGTGCTTCTCAGAGCTGAGTAAATGCGGTACGCCTATCACTAAGATTTTTTTTTTAACATTAAAAACATTGATGGTTTAGTTACTTGTTTGTAAAATGTGTTTACCCCATTGAAAACTTTTAATGTATTAAAATATCTCGCACAGTCCTACCAAATAAGTTAAATAGTTAGAGTTCAGTCTACCTCTTTTTTTTTTCTGGCTGGATTTAGGCTGCTGGTTGGTTGAGGCTGCAGTTTTATTTCCCCTCTGAAGCACTTTGTGTGGAAGACAGCAGACTGGGGGCTGAGGCCTGAAAGCAGATTTGAGGCTCTTGGAGATCTGCTGCTGACCAGCCCTATTCCCCATGAGTTGGGGAAAGCCATTGTTTTTAATTCCCACTTAATATGAAAATGTTTGTTTTAAAAAATGTTTCTTGCTGGTGAAAAATGTATTTTTAAAAGGAAAAACCAAATCCTCTTTTGGTCTGAGGAGTCAGCTGTATGAGCAGGTGTGACCGTATCATAACATGCTGATGTCATAGAAATCAATAAATTTTTACCTCTCAGGAGTCGGGTGACCTTATTCTTGACTCTTAAAGGCTGGAGAACAGACTAGAGATGCCCACGGTTCAGGATGCACAGAAGCAGACACACAGATGCAACACGGGGTGGGGAGGGGCTGGCTGACCACAGAGCTGAGATGGCCCCTCTCATAGTCAGAAGAATACTCCTCGATGGGTATGAGTAAGCCGGTGTCCAAAGAAGAAACTGAAACACTTGTTTTCTCTTGTTAACCAAGGAGCATCCTTGGTTCCCACACCCCGGAGATGCACTACGGGGTAGAGATAGGCACTTGTTTGGCTAAAGCAGGGGAATTACTTATTTTTTATGTGTATGGGTGTTTTTGGCCTGTGTGTATGACTGTGTGCCATGTTCATGCTTGGTGGCCCCTGAGGCCAGAGGAGGCATCTGGTCCCCTGGAACTGGAGATACAATTTTAAGTTGCCATATGGGTGCTGGGAATTGAACCTCGGTCCTTTGGAAGAGAAGCAATCACTCTTAGCACTGAGCCATTTCTCCAGCCTTACTTGGTGTTAGTGAAAAAATGTGAAACTGAGTAAGAGACCCTAAAGATACCAGTTACTGGTTTAATGTTTCCCTATTTCACTTTGGACCCCAAAACTACCAAGGCTTATCTGCAATTTTCTATCAGTTGATACTGTATCGGGACCAGTTGGTGGTCGGTTGGGGGTAAACGAAATAGGTACTCAATAGGGGAGTGATCAGAAGAACTGGGGTGCTGAGAAGAGGAACCCAAGATACTGAGTGATAAAGGGAAGGCCAGATGTGCTGTCCACAGCAGGTGTGCATACTCCAGATGAACAAAGGGAAGGCTAGGTGCTACTGTCTATAGCAGGTGTACATACTCTAGATGCACAAAGGGAAGGCCAGATGCGGCTGTCCACAGCAGGTGTGCATACTCCAGATGCACAGACTCTGCAATGAAGGTTAGTACTAGAAAGTCAACTTTCATATCACCTGTGTCCTAAAAACTGCCTGCCATTCATATATACCTACCTCCCATTTCAGGTGACTCTCTCCTGAACAGGAGAAAAGCAAACCTAAGTCATTAGGAATCTCTGTTAGGAGGCCCAACAAAGGAACAGTTCACAATGCTGATGACTCAAGACCTTCCTATTACCAAGGCACCTAAATCCACAACAAAGCTTTTTGTCTACCCTGGTATGTACATAGTCCAGTAGAGACAAAGGGTGGCACCAGTATTTGGGCCTGTCCTTGGATATCTTGGATTCTGATGTGGGACAATGGGCTTCCAAAAATGCAAATAGAAGCCAATAAGACTTCGTAAAAGGGCTGGAGAGATGGCTCAGAGGTTTAGAGCACTGGCTGCTCTTCAGAGGTCTTGAGTTCAATTCCCAGCATCACATGGTGACTCACAGACATTTATAATGAGATCTGGTGCTCTCTTCTGTTGTGCAGGCAAACATGCAAGCAGAATACTGTACACATAATAAATAAATAAATAAATAAAAAGTCTTTTTTTTAAAAGACTGTAGAATACAGCCCAGGAGCAGAGTCACTTTCACAACTATATTTGGTTAAATTATAAGTTCAGGATGAGAGAGTCTAAAAATCTACCTTCCCATACTGAACTTGTGCCAGGAAGAGGAATCAGAAGTCATCTTTGAAGATCAGCTATAGAGTATACCATTCCTCAGATATTTAAATAAAGAATATTAGTTAGGTCTAGAAGAGTTCTCACGCTTGGCAAATTTGCCAGCAGTATCAGCTGGAAATGCTTTGAGTTCACAAATATTTAAAGGAGGGTTAAATCTGTCATACTGTCATTCATTTGTATAAGTCATGTTCATCAAATGAATGAACACCTAGCAAAAAAAGTTTTGGCTCATGCCTAGAATGCACAAGGTCCTGGGTTCAATCCTCAGAACCACAGAAATAAAAAGATTGTTTTTGCCAAACATTGTGGGGCATACTGTAATCTTAGCAACTCGGGGGGTGGCTGAAGCTAGAAGATGGAAAGTTCAAGGCTAGACTGGGCTACCTACTGGTGGGTTAGAGACCAGCCTAGGCCAGAGTAAGACTCAAAAGAGAGATCTTGTTGGAGAGCAGTCTGCATGGTTTGTGGCAATGACCAGCACACAGCTCATTGGCCTTTGAGGTTCCAGAGTTAGTGGGAACTTTGGCATCTCCTTCTTTGGGGATGGTGGGTTTCCTTGTGCAATTTCAACCTGTTGCCAATAGAGTCGGACAGCTGCTTAGAGAATTGAGGACCTAACAGCCTCTCGGTCCCCAAATCGGACGGTGCCTTCTGCGGGTGTCTCTGGTTTTCGTAAATAAAAAAATATCAGAAATGGAGAGATGGCTCAGCAGTTAAGAGCACTCACTGACATTATTTTAATTAGTCTCTTATACAGAGTGCTGAGGATTAAGTATACCTGTTGAAAGGCTGGTGGATTTCAAAGTTCTACCGTTTCATTTTCCTCAATTTTGAAGTAAACATGAGAGCCCCAAACTCTAAAGGATGATTTCTTAGAATGTCCCCCTGAGCTCTGGCAGAGACACCATTAACCACTGAAAAAAGTTTGAAGTCTATGGCTTTATCTTTTTCCATGTGGAGGTGATGTATTTTGCTCTGTTCAGTGGGAGAGGGAGAGAATGCCTTCACTCCACTCTGGAGGGAAGAGGGTCCGGCCCTGTAGTGCTTCTGTTCTTTCTGAATTCTAGGTCTGAAACTGGCCAAGAACAACTAGTAGCACCTGATGCCATGTGTCCTTCCATCACAGCCAGGACACAGAGGAGGACCAGGATCTGGAGTTTTTTTTCAACTTCACTCCTTGTGTATCAAATAGGAAACTGTCAAGGAACGATTTTCAGTATTAAATGAGACATTGTACATGAGGCACAGAGGATGTGCTTTGTATTGAAGGCTCGAGAGTGTTTTTCTGCCCCAGTTAGGCTCAGTGGAGGGTGTGAACTTTCTGTCCTGGATGTACCTTCACTCCAGATGTCCCATCTTGTGCACAAGACTGTATCATTGCCACAAAGGCTATTGATGCCCACCAGCATATTTTCCAGAGCCTCAGGTTCTTTGAGTTTCTAACAGACAAACCCAATGAGCATGGCCGTGCTGCTGATCCCACACAGACTATCCAATGCCCCTAGACAGTGGCAGGAAAGAGCTTTGAGGTTGGAGAAGCAATTAGGAAGGCAGGAGACAGGATCTGCTAGACAGAAGACATTACTCTTAATAGAGACCTATTTTTGCTTCTGAGACGTGATGTCACTTGTGATATGGACCTTGAACTAATTATCATAAGGGAGAGAAATATAATTTCTGGTGTCTGGAAGCTGTTCTCTAGCCGTGGTCCTCCCTGCATGGGTCTTAGGATGGTAAGCATGGCATTGAAAGCCCCTAAAGCTTCAGGGAGGTCAGCGTAGTCCTGCAAACCTTTCTCCTGTCTAGTTCCACAAGTCCCTGAGCTTGCCTTGAAGTTTGACACTTTCCACTATTATGTGCTGTGCTGGGTACTCAGTTCTTAGGAACTAGGTACCACAGGATGTAAGCAGTGCAGGTGTAGCTTTCCCTGATGCTTACTGGGGCATCAGAGTAGACTGCAAAAGGAACTGGAGGGTGGACTGGGGCAGCATAATGAAGAGCTGGCCTTTCTAACTGCTCTCGCAAGTTGAATAAGTGTAGAGCTCATGTTTTGGTTGACCTGTTTCCTCCGGTGTAAGGCCTCAGTAAACACCACATGGTTCTTGAAGCTTCTGTGACCTTCCTTACCTGCCGTTTCCACAGCCAGCTCGGCCCTCTTCCTCCCGTGATTGACGTTGCTGACTGTTTGAAGCAGTTGTTGCTTCTGCTTTGTGTGTAGTTTCTGCATTTATTTCCTTGGGCAACTGTGGAGGGAGGCTCTGGGATCCATCATGGTTCTTCCACCTTTAAGCAGATGTCTACACACACATGAAAAATCCACTTGGCTCCTACTATCTTAGGAGATCTGAGAAAAAGGCTCTCCACTACCCACAGCTTGAGGGTGGGGGAAGGGTTGAGTGCAAGGAAGCAGAAGTGACTGTCTTGTGCCCAGTGAAGACCTCCAGATGAGGTGAGAAGGCTGGGCTGGCTACAGAGAAGAGAAGGCTGCTCTGGCAGGTTGGATGGTTTTCCGTGAGATGCCCACCATGCTGCATAGAGGAGGGAACACAGGGCGATCACTTGAGTGGAGTCCACGGGAACAGGCACTCCCTGTCACTGGAAGATGTCACACAGAGGCTGGGCAAGTTGGTGCCAGGGTGAGCATGGGTGGGAGACTCCAGCTGGGGGGATGGGGTGGGAAGAGCTGAACCTATTCCCTGCCCCTCTCCCACCCCCGCATCCCCCATGTACCCTTGTCACAGGGAGCCTGATCAAAGCCTCCACTGTGCTGGCTTTTCTGTTGCTCTCGGGAGGGAGGAGCCGCGAGCTCAGCCAGCCCTTGCTCTCATCACTTAGAGGCCTCTCCCAGCTTAACCCACCAGGAACAACCATCATTGGTGTGACCCGTGCAAAGTGCAATCGCCGAGGTCCCGGTTCAGAGCATTAAGAATTGTGACAATGTTCAGAACACTAAAGCAAAGGGAGGTCACACTCTCAAAACGTCAGCCCTCAGGGTACCAGCGTTGAGAGCTAATGTGGACACAGGGTCCCACCCCAACCCAGAAGCTATGTGCAGCTGATGCCTTCTAGCAAGGAGGAAATCAGTTTTCTCCAATGGAGTGTCACTGGGTATATGAACCACACTCTAGGGCAGACCCCATACCCAGTAGCTGGTCAACACAAAACAAACTCAACATTGTTAGGGATTTTTGGGGGGTGGGGTGGGATTTTTGTTTCATTTTATCATTTTTTTGTCCTGTTGGGGTTTTTGCTTTGATTTTCATTATTTAATTTTATTTATTTGAGAAAGAAAACATGAAGTTGGGTATTAGGGAGATGGAGAGGATCTGGGGAGAGTTAGGGGAGAGGAAAACATGATCAAAATATATT